AGGTATATAGGTATATTAAGTCCCGGGTAATTTGTCCGTGACTGATGAATTAGGAAATAACTCAATCTTCAGTTAGATGATCAATCTTTAAATCATGCAGCCAATGAAACAGCGAGGAGTAAAGTAATTGTTATTGTTAGCTCGATAAGTATATAAGTTAAACCTGTAGCAAATGACTTTGTCCCATTCGAAATAGCTACATTGATGTTAATTTTGAACCAATTGCAGCCATCCAATCAATACAAAGGAGTTGCTAAGCTATACTAAGCCATTGCACACAGGAGTCGGACCCCAGCAATTCATTTCTACTATATTCTCTCATTCTTTTTTCCTTGTGGGGAGCAAGTGGCCAACTAGACCTTTGGTGCTGGTACAGCTTCTATTGTGCCATTCTCTTTGAGTCATTAAAGGAGAACTGTACGACCTTCACTAGTACCTAGTACTTGTGGGGACAGTCCTAAACAGTAAGCTTGCCTTTTTTGTCTAAGCAAAGTATTTTGTGTAACATGGATTCTACGGCTTTCACAATAAGCTGAACCTTTGTTTCTGAAGTGTTAAACTGAACACTTCAGGAGCAGGATCGTGACTTTTACAAAAAAGAGGAAGCATGACAACAACAAATTTCCAATGACAAATACTGCAAGCGCAAACAGATGCAAGCAAGCTATCGCAGCAACCGCAAAGCACGACTGGCTCAGCAGCTTTACAGGGTACAGTCCTCAACAAGTAACATCGATGCACCCCTAAATGAAGATTTATAGTTGAAGAGACATAATTCTTTGGAAGCCAACAAAGAGAACATTCAGGTTTTGATCAAAGATTAAGTTATTTCCAAAAAAGGAATGAGTTATTTCCAAACTTCTTTATCCAGTAAAAAGTGACTAAGAGATTTCGATGATACCTTTCTAAATTCCATTTTAACTAGTGAATTTAGAAGGATATCAATCCATAACCCTATTAATTATAGCTGAGCAGTTGCTTAATATCTGACTGGAAGGCCTAGTGAGAAGGGAACAGTGGGCTGGTCCTGATTACACATCCCCATGGCCAACTTTTTGTCCTGAACGTTTTTCCCCTTGCTGTTGCCCACAGTGTTTTAATTTGCTTACGTAATTGATTAGCCTTCGTGGCCATTTTCTATGACCTTACTATTCGCATCGATATCTATGTATGAATTTAATTTTGTGTTTTCTCTTACATTATTCACGTTGCACGACGAGAGGAAGCAGCTGATGAGCACTCTAGAAATCTACGGATCCAATAAATTGTGCTGTTTACACAATCTTCAAAATTGCATCAGGGAGAAGATACTTTAAATTAAGCTTTTACTAATAGAATCCCCCAATCCCCCATCGTTGTTGTTCGATAACTCCGCACCTAGCACACACAGAAAGAAACTAACGGATCAACTGTGACCAACACAGGTAGAAATCTCAAGATAGTTTAGCAGGGTTCAGTAGGTATTCATTCATGCATACAATGCAACAGCCAAGGAAACCAGTATTCAACTGATCGAGGGAGACGACTTATGAGAAATAATGTGCATCGGATCGATTGCTTGTGTTTTTAGCGTTAAAAAGAGTTGACAACATAAACCTCCCTCCCCCACAAACAGTAGCATGTTCACCTTCGTCAAATTTACTTATCCCACGTAAATGGATAGTTAAAGACGTTTGATAGGCAGCAAACAGCAGCCGTAACCTGTAAGCTGCGAGACCGTAAAATCTGGTTTAGACGGACCAAATGCCATCAGTTTTTGAAAGTCTACGTACAATTCA